ACCAGGGCAGAGTAGAGGGGGAATTACAATTCTGTTTGACAGGGATGCTTATATGCCTGAATAGTAGACAGGGGGAAACTGGTAGATTCACACTTGCTTTTCTAACTATTTGTATTTTCAGTGGAGCATTATGTTTACATTTCATGACTGTTTAATAATTTCGAGTGTTTTAAAGTCTTATTTCTTTATACTTAATTTTATTGTTGGAGTGAAGGATAAATTGTTGGGCGCTGGTATAAAGCTGATGTGAACTTTAGCAAGAACCTGAGGATCAAATAATTGGAATATAGTTATAGACTGATGCGGTTGTTATTTGGTTTTACTAGCCCTGCACTGTAATCTAATTTTGGTTTTAATAATAAGTTTTTAAAAGCTGCGCTTTACTGGGGTCATGTGCAGTGCAAATTCAGAAAGTATGTTTTTTACCACTGGAATCACAGTGATAATCCATGAGGATGATTTGGAAGGATTGAGGCTTAAAAACCCTGAGCAACACCTGAAGTTTTCATCCAGATAATGCCTGCAGTGCATTTGCCACACAGTGCATTTACAGCGTTGCTTTTCATCGAGTGTTCCCACAGAAAAATCCTGTAATAAGGGGTGGAAAAGTTTTAAGGTAGTTTTAACAGTGTAGTTTTAATGTCATCGTCAGAGGGAAGGTGGCTGGAGGGCAAGGGCAGCAGCGATGGCCTGGCATTCGGGTGAGATCCATGGGGATGAAGTGTGTACCTGGCAAAGCAATGGGAAGCACTGCTCGGCTGCTGTTGAGGATCTGATTTATAATTAATGAGCTGTCATTTACGTAGCAAGAAGATGGACTCTCCTGAAACAAATCAGAGCTTCCTGAAAGCTTAACACTTGATGAGAATGTCCTTCAAGCCTCCTACCTCAAGAAATTACCTGATATACCCACGAAGGCTGCTTCTCCTCCCCTCGCCAATTGCAGTGCTTGGATTGAAATTGTTAATATTAATTGGAGCTGAGCTGATTGCAGTGCCACCCCATCAGGCTGCAGCAGCCCTCCTGCTCGCTGACATCGCGGCAGGGGTCTGTTCAGCATGGGTGGCTCTTCTCCGCTATGGCATGTACAGTCGTATCAGGTTGATTAATGTGCCCAATAGAAATAAAACAAATGGAAATTTTTTTAGATTATACAGTACACTCATAAATATTAATGCACTTTTGTATTGAATTGCATGTAATTACATATTTATACATTTAAGTCACCTTCCTGATACACTTAAGGCACTTTACTGATGAAAGATATCTCTGAATAAGATGGTTTTAAACCATGCCTAATATGTTTGTAGGATTTATTTAATAATGTGTGGGCTGGTATGCTGGCAGGAGACGAGAAAAACCTCCGTTAAAGTCTGAATGTGTTGTTCACAGGGTCTGCTACTTAGTTTGGATCGACTCCATGGGTAGCTGCTGAAAAATACGTCTCGACGTGAAATATTACTACATCTCCTTATCTATGTAGATAAGGTCTGTGCAGTCCTGTCACCTTAGAGTAATTACAGCTTATTACTGTAATCATGATAATGCCTGAAGTCTGTAATTAAGATTGTGCTGGCTAATGTACTAGCACATGGCGTGGTACAGCTATTGTCCTATCTAAACAACAGAAAGATAAAAAACTGGATGAGGAAGAAAGGGCAGAAAGTGAGGAAGTGATTTACACAGGGCCAAGTGCCGCCTCCGCTGAACCCAACGGCTTCCGAGGGGGCCGAATCCTGCGCGTCCTCCGCAGCCTTGTGTGTGCTGCTGTACCACGGCGTGGCCGAACCCATCCTGGGCAGGTTGCACCATCAAACAGAAGGTCAACACCCCCGGTGATCTCTGTTTAAGCTGTTTTAATGCATCTATCCACCTCTGTCTAAGTTTTTATTCTTTTAACTTGTCCTGCTGCAGTCCAGACTGCAAATGAAGAATTTGATATATATATTTCTCTATATAGTTTACAGCCAAGTTGTGTATCTGTTGAAAGCAATGAGAGGTTCTACCATACAATTCCATAATCCAGGGGTTTGACCCACAGCACTCCATAATTTTCTCTGCAGCGATGTCAGCAGATGGCTGTTCTGGAGGAACACGGTTGTCTAAACGCTGATCTTTGTCTAAATTTCATAGTAAGCCCCCCCACCAAACTGGATTTAAGGCTCACTTTCACAATTTGCAGAATTGCAAGCTAGGTACCTACGCAGTTCCCTTTCCTGTCTTTGATTGTGAGCAGAAGAGGCACCTTATTTTTGGAGATTTCTGCAGGTTGTTCCTTCTGTTTTGGAAGATGGAGGTTGCAGAAGAGTTTCGTAGAGTTTGCAGAAGGCTTTGTGAAGCTGCTCTCACTCATCTTCGCTGTAGGTTTATGTGCAGGTTCTTTCATCCCAATTCTGCCATGACCTAAACTTTGCTTTAGGTGTATCTTGACAATTCATGAAACTTTATGCAATTGGCTAAAACGTGGGCTTCTTATGGAGGAGGTTATGACAGATATCCCATAGTGATCTGCAAAATCTGACCCATCTTACACCCTCTTTAAAGCTAATGGGAGCTAGTAATTTCTTGATGGCAGTGCTAGCCCCATTAGACACTCTATAAGTTTCTGGAAACCTGCCACTGTTTCATTTAGATTCCTAGCTGCTAAAAAAAAGAAGTCCCACAAAAGCTATTTAGTCATTAGGAGAATTTTTTTTTTCCACAGAAAGTTTCCTTTTCTTCACTCTTTCAACCTTTCACATTTAGAGTGAATCCTCTTAATAGCATTTGTAAGTACAAATACGAGCTCTGTGTGTTAACACAAGTCCTGTGCTGGTATAATGTGCAATTCATAAAGCATTAGATTTTTTTTTTTATATACTGATCTGAAAAAATAAAGATTTATGTTTATCATTAGCAACTCGGTGATAGTTATCTTAAGGCACAAATCTGTTCTGTGATAAAACATCTTATTGTTTCAATGGAGTGCATTGGATAAGGTGGAATTCTGGTGCTTCTCTGCTGTGTTGAAGTTGCTCTGTGGGAATCACGGTGTTACTTGTTTTCCAGTTTATTTCACCAAATACTTGGTGAGGGACTTGCTGTGCCAGGTGCTCTGTGTTTGATATCCAGGAGGTCAACAGGTATTTATAGTTGCTATTTTATGAAGCTATTGATGAGAATTGGCAAAATAGTAACCATAATATATGACACCTTAGAATTTGCCTTTGTGCATTTGTGGCATTTATCTGAACCTAAAACCTTCCAGGTTTTTTCCAGGGAAAGGAGACTGAAGGTGTGCTCAGAAAAGTGGTTCTTGCTTTATGTTCCCTTGGGCTTGCTCTGTAGGGTCTCCTACCTTGTGTACAGTGCTTTTCACAAGTAGATCTCAAAGCGTGTTATGGTGATGGGTACTACTAGGGACTCTTAATAGCTGGAGGAACCAGAGAAGAGAGACAGGACATTCTTAAAATACTGATCCTGCTTTATAGCTAAGGATGGTAAAGATTTTGTTCATGAGCTTGGATAAAGCTCCTAACTTGTCTGATGTGAGTAACAGTGTGTGAATTAAAGCTTAGGATATTTCCCATGGTGTTTTAGGTGAAGAAAAGGTAGAAGAAGTGTCTTATATCTTCTGTTCTGTATTCCCTTCTTTAGTGCTTGTAAAATTATTCTTTTTGCCAAATATCAAATTTGAACATTGACTGTCTTCAGTTTAATTAATGTTCTCATTGGTTTTAGTTATGAATTTTGTGAAGCTCTTGTGTTTTAGCTAGGCATTTAGGGAGCATTCTTTAATTAAAGCCAAACTGATTTTTGCCTGTAGGCATGGGGGGGTTTTTTTGTTTCTTTTTTTGCATTAAAAGGTGGCATAATTTGAATTATATTCTTGTGAACCTTAATCTTTTTGTGACACAGGGACCAACAGCCCAATTTCTTTCCTGCTGTTGGTTATAATATTAAGTGACAATAAACAGAAGCATGAAGGCTTACAGGATCATAAAGTATTTTGTGGTAGGACACAGAGTTTTTGGTGAAAGCAGCCAGGCATGTTAGTAGAGTATACATAAAGCATTACACTATTTAAGTAATATCCTCCTTATATGGGAATAATGTGCTCTTACATACAGAGTGCTTGGAGTAGATACGACTTAGCAAATTGTATTTATTAGATGCACAATACACTTTGTAATTTAAACCTTTCTATATAAGCTTCTAATTCTTCTCTCTGGGTGACCCTCCAGCCTTCCTCCTCCTCTGCCTTTAATGATATATTATTGGAGAATTTTTTTTTCTAGTAACATTTCTTTGAAATAAAAATAAGAATTCTGTGTGTTGCAGGTTTATTAGTAAGAAAATACACTAGCTATAGGCAAAGTGACACAGCTGGTGTTTAAGTTGCAAGACTTGAGTGTTTTTTATAGACAGACATTGATTCTGGGGTTTAAAGAAGGGTCAGTAACAAAGTTTACAAATACAAGGAGTTTTTGTTTGGTTGTTTTTTTTTCCAGCTGGCAATGAGATTTGGAAATCTGCTTGGGTCAGGCTTGAGGGAAACATCCACTGAAGTCAATTGAAATACTTTGGCTTTAATTGGATTTAGAGCAGCTCTTGCCTTGTCCTGTCAAATACAAGAAATAATAAAAATAAATGGGAAAAGCCAAGCCCTGTTTAAATGGAGTACAATTGTTAATTTAAACATTAGAAACATATGCTGTCTTCTAAACGTGGGCTTACTTGGGCCATGAGATGTGTTTGAGAATTGAGGTTGAGGGTATGAAATCTAAAGGAGTGCGTCTGCTTCTGTGCACTCGCTTCATCTTACAGCTTTTATTTTGCATTTGCCTATCTATTTTGATGAAGTGGACACCAGTGAAGACTGCTTTCTCCTTTTCTGGTGACTGTAGCGTTGCCTCAAGAACGCTTTGCTGATCACCTAGAATTGCTGCTGAAAGAGGTGGGCCAAATCAGAGCTATATCTTAACCACTGTGTTTTTCTTCTCTTCCTTCTCCCTCTGCAGAAGGACGTAGCTCTGAAACCTCAGGAACGCGTGGAGAAGCGACAGAATCCTCTAGCCAAGAAGAAACGGGAAGCACTTACTAATGGGCTGTCGTATCTTCCAAAAAAGAACAGACTTCACCACCACCAGTACAGCTCCGACCGAGAAAATGATCGTAATCTGTGTCAGCACCTTGGGAAAAGGAAGAAAATACCAAAGGGCTTCAGACAGGTAGGAGACAAAGTTACCTGTTTCAGAGGGCGGGCTTTGGCTGTTGGCATGTTGGTATGTTTGGCTGTTGGTATGTAGAAGTGTATTTCTCATTTTGTGGGATCATTTTAACCCCTTCATCGTTATTTTATTCTTGGGCTCTTGAGTGCTGCTTGGTACCGTGTCCTGGTACTGGAAGAAATAATTGAGTGGGGAAGCAAGTGATGTGTCAGTGCTAGAGCTGGGTTGATTAATAAATGTGCAAAGGTTGGAAGCGCTTTCCATGGACTGGCTGTGAGACTGTCAGGGTGAACAAATGTGGTCTTTCTACTGCATTGTTAGGCCAACTTTGTGCAATAAATACACCTTTTTGTCTTCAGACTTTGTACACAGAAGGGTAAGACTCCCTTGAACATCAAGGGCAAGGTGAGGTAATTGCAGGGGGAGCAGCTGTTAATCAGGACAAAGCTCTCAGACTGATTTTGGTGCCAGGGGCCCATTTGTAGGATGTTAATGGTACTGGTGTGTGCTCTTTTGGGTAACTAATCAACTGCCTCCCCAACACTGGTGTTCCCTCACTGCGGTAGCCGTGGCACGCGTGTGACAAAAGTGGACAGATAGCATCAAGGGTTGCAAAGTTTGAGGCTGGAAATCTTGGACTCTTCTTCAGGACTGTGCAGTGTTGTGTTTCTTGTTTTTTAAGAAAAGAAGAAAGCGTGACAAGCGTGATTTCTCTGGTAAGCAGGATGTGGAAATAAGAGTGATGTTTTGCTTTTTTAAAATAAATATCCTTTGTGTGTGTGTTATATATAAAAAGCTAAATTAGAGCTGGGCATTTTAAGTATAGCATGTGTCTGTGTAGTTGTCTGGCTCATTGTCTGCAAAACTGAAGTCTAAAGTAACAGTAAAGAGTTCATCTTCAACTTAAATTTGAGTGATAATAATGACTCTTTAACCAAAATTTATATATCTAATGGACATGGTTGGTATTTATTGAATGAGTCTTCATCCTTGTTTGGTGCAAACAGAACATTGCTTTGTAGAGAAGCTTTTGGAAAACAGTGAGAATTCACCGCTTCTCATTTTGTGAGCTCAGGGAAATAGAAGGAACACTGAGGTTGACAAGTAATTGACTTTGATTCTGCTTTGATATTCTGATTTACAGAAGCTGGTAAAAAAAAAAAAAAGTTTTTGTGATTATTTTTAAGCCTGTACTGTATATAGAAATAAAAGAAGAGATTATAAAGTGCTTCAGCAAAGCAAACACATTGTAAAATGCCTGTTCTACATGACCACGCCTGTTAAAGGTATACCTCCTGATTTTATTTTACTTTGTATTTCAAAGGGATGAGAATGTATTTCAACTCTTCAAGACAGTTGATGGAATGATTATAAGTAGTTGTTGAAGGTTGCTGTGATTGCTGACTGTTTTCCATGTTCACCTACGCGATCTTCACTCTGATCCTTTTTATTATGTCAAATAGTACACGTGTGTGCTTTGTGCAGTAGGAACTGGCCTTTGTAAAAACGGGCTTTGCACTGTTTGCTTCCCCTGGTGTAGCCCACTGCCAGGTAAAACCTTTCTGCCTGGTACTTAAGCAGTGAAGAAATCAGCCTTGCTGCCGATGGAGATTCTTTGTGAGGTTATGTTTTTAAGAATAAATATACACTGGCCTCGAAGGTATTGAGTTGACAAATGTCATAGGAAATGGTTTTCCTTTTAGCTGATAAATCTGAGTCCTCTGCTTAATTCCTGAGGGATAAGGCTGAGAGGAAATAAAATATCTTGCTCAATATAAATTTAATACATTTGGTAGGGGTATAGCTCCGTAGATAAGAACATTTTAGTCTCATGAACAGTTTAGGTGCTGACAAATCCAAGTGGCTTTGGCACTTAGACATGGAAAAAAGATGTCATGGAAAAGACTATAAAGCTTATTTGAAAAGACATACCCTCAACATTTACATATAGTATTTCTGTAAGCATTTTCTGTCTTCTTTCAAGACAAATGATGAAGACATCAAAAAAAGGAGGAGAATTATAAGCTCTGTGGATGGTTTTCTCTGATCATGGAATAATTTTCCTTCTAGAGTGATTCTTGGCTGCACACCTTGGCTTTGTTTCCACACACAGCTCCATCTCACTGAATTCCTGGGCTATTGATGGGAAGTAAAGTTGCTTGTCAGCATTCTCAGGTGACAACAAACCAAAAATTGGGCCCACTGTTTTGTGCTTGACAAGTAGGAAAGTCCAAAGCCAGTTTGAGTTTAGTATTGTGGATGTGCAGGGTGTCCTTGCCATGTTAGGGCTGTATATTTTATACATAAGATGTGTGTCTTGCCCCTGTTGTCCCTGGAGGAATCCCGAATTGTCACATGTGAATATAATAATTGGATGGCAGGATGCAATCTCGATGCTGTCACTGGTATAAGTCCTTGGCTACAGTCTGTCCCTGTTGGGAAATGTTTTATACCTGGAGATGTTCGTTGTTTTACTGGTAGTTAACAGTCCTGTCTGATACACCTTCCTGTGCAAACCTGTTATCTGCTGGAAGTAACTCTCACATGAAGCTCCCTTGTCAAACAGATTGAGTTGAAGTCAGCTATTGGAAGGACTGCTAATTAGTTTCCAGAGATGATCTTTGCAGTATTCATGCAGGTATTTATCCAGCTATGCTGAAATGCCTACAGGTTTATTGAAATCCAGAAAATGTGAAACTGTAGGTTAATTAAGGCTCGTATTTTACTAGCGAGAAGACTTTTGAACTCTGCTTTGTGAGCTTTTATAAATGTACTTATTAAATGCCTCAAGGAAATTTTAGTTGGCATTAAGCAAACATAAAACTCATCAGAATATTTCTCCAGTGTTTTAAATTTAATTTCCTTTACATTAATTGATGATGGCATGGTTTTATGTGTTTTCTGTAGAAATCATTTGGAAATCTTAAAGTGAACATTTTTAAACTTAGTAAAAGGGTGACAAAAAAATTTTGAGTTTTTATTCCTCAGGGTTCAAGGAGGATGTGGCTTACAAGGAATTAATGAGTTTTCTTTGCAGAAAGAGGGGTGAGAGGATTTTGATAATGAGGGGGAAGAATCATTTCTCTTTACTCTGTGGGTGTGTGTTTTGGAAAGAGCAGAAAACACTGACTCTTGCTACTCTACCATTTCCTGCGTAGTTTTCTTTATATACTGGGAGATTGATATGCCTTCTTGCAGAAAAGGAAGTGCTTTTAAACCAGCAATATGCTTCTAAACCAGCAATCTCTGCGCTGGGCCGATGGTATATTAGCTGGCTTACATATATGTGAGAGCCAACTGCTGCTGGGCTCTACTTTAACTGGCTGATTCCAAAGACACTTGCAGAATATCACATCCCTGTCTCAGATATTGGGTGAGGGCAAGGAAGGAGACCAACTGGTAATAAATAAGGGGCAGATAATGAATAAAGGAAAGAAAACTCATGATGGAGAGATGAATTAAGAGGTAAATTTTAATGAGATAAAGGAAAAATGGGAAGAACAGCAAAAAAGATACACTACTGACTCTGGCAGTCGTCAGCTACAAGCATTATAAACTATTAGCTTTAACCTTGTAGTCCATTACATCAGTCAATTAAAGGGGAGGAAGGGAGGGGAGTATTGAAGCTTTTCCTTGTCAGAATTAAGTCCATGATCTCCTTGGCAGTTTCACCCTGAATATATACATCTTAAATCTGAGACTGGCTAAGGATTTGGATGGCCGATCTGGATGGCCACTGTCACTTGCCAACATCGCGGTGTTGGTTGTGTCGCAGATGGAGCTGCAGCACGCTGGTTCTCTGGCACAGAGGTGCTCGTGTGCTTCAGCGCGGCAAACCCCTGGTGCGGGGGCTGAAATCACTGTTGTGTGATCCGCATTTAATCACCTTACAGTCAGGAATGGCTTTTGCAGGCTCTTAGACAAGCCCGTACATGACAGGTAATGAGAGCGGAGCAGGAGGTGGGTGTTAGCTGTGTGGTTTGTGGTGACATTGGTCGGGGAGCTGAGCAGATGGGTTTGATTGTCACCGGCAGTGTGATTCCAGGGAGAGCTGACTGTGGTGACAAGCGATTTACAATGTGCTATTTACAGTTTGGGTTTGCAGTCTCTCAATGACATCTGAGTGCTCTTTAGCAACTGTTTTCATTGCTGCTTTTCTAAGAGCTGTTAATTGAAAATGAAATAGTGGGTGGGCTTTGGGAGTGCAATAGCAGCTACAAGCATTATATGCAACCGTGGAGAACCGTTTAATTTCTTTGACTCCCAACTTGTAGCTCTGTGCAGCACCAAGGGAAAAAATGTGTATGTATTTGAGGTTACACACCTTGGAAATACTGCACACAGTGTGCATACACCCATAATGAGTGATAAAGGCTTGAATCTCCTTTTCTGTAGCTCCTGTGGTTTGGGATTACTTCCCTGGCAGCCGGTGGATTTCAGTGACTGTGAAACTGCTGAAGATGAGGAAGGAACCTGGGCCATGAAGATAGCTCAGGCAGGACAACAGAGGGGTTTGCAAACCACACTGGCTGCATTTGTGCTGTCGGAGGTCTGGTTCTGTGTGACTAAAGTTAAAGGAAACTAGTCCAGAGAAGGGCCACCATGATGATCCAAGGGCTGGAGCACCTCTCCTATGAAGACAGGCTGAGAGAGTTGGGGTTGTTCAGCCTGGAGAAGAGAAGGCTCTGGGGAGATCTTATAGCGGCCTCCCAGTACCTGAAGGGGGCCTACAAGAAAGCTGGGGAAGGACTTTTCTTAAGGACAACTAATGACAAAACAAGGGGAAATGGGTTTAAACTGAAAGAGGGGAGGTTTAGATTAGATATTAGGAAGAAGTTCTTCACTGTGAGGGTGGTCAGACACTGGAACAGGTTGCCCAAGGAAGTTGTGGCTGCTCCTCCCTGGAAGTGTTGAAGGCCAGGCTGGATGAGGCTTTGAGCAACCTGGTCTAGTGGAAGGTGTCCTTGCTGCTGGCAGAGGGATTGGAACTAGATGATCTT